ATCCCGTTGATTAAGCCCTTGTTTGTTGAGTGTTGTGACTAATTTGTTGCGACGCTAATTTTAGTATGAACCTTTTTAGTGTTGCCAATACTCATTCAGGCGTCTATCATTTAAATGTTCAGTTCTGACGGATTGATTTCATAATAGGTTGCGGTGAAGTCTAAATGATCTTGTTTTGTTTGTTTACACTTATACAATGGGTTAGAGGCTTCACTCTATTTAAGGAATACACTCGTGTCTATTGTCAAATGGTACTTCCATTTGTATATTTTATAACTTAAGTATATAGTTATGTGTGAATATTTTTAACCAATAAATGGTCTTTTTTTTCTAACTTCTACCTATAGTAATGTGTAAATATTTATAACCGATGGTCTTTTTCTATCTTTCGAGAGTTCTCACTTTATTCAAGTTCTTGTTTTCTTACAAATATTTACTCGATTTATTATTTATTTTATTAGTACACATTTATTTTATTATGTATAAGTTACGAAAATGATATAGACGTATATAATCCACACTCATTTGAAACACCGAATCACTAATCCCGCAAAAATTGTTTAACAGATATTAATGAAATTGGTATACGGATAATATTGATCCCATTTTAACCCTGAACATGCAAGCTACTTTTTGTCCCACTAAATTGGTTTCTAAGGACCACGCAGACAAAGTCGCTGGCGGAAAATAGTTCGATCTTATTGGTTTTCAAAAATGTGTATAAATAAACTGTAATTTACAATAACAAAACTATATCACGTGTCTTAGTATATTGAATGGCTCAATAACAAAAGCTTTTAAAATGTCTTGAAAAATTGCCATAAGTACCTATTCAGTCTCCCCTCGTATTAATTATTTTATTTATTTATTTGAAAATAATGGATAGATGTGCGTGAGTCATCAATTTTATTTTCGGAAAGATTTCTTTGTTTCTTTTTCCTGCAATAAACGCCTTGACAGTCTTAAAATCGGAATAAACTTATTTTAGGACCAGCTGTTTTATCGCAACTTAAGCTGCATAAATAACATCGTATAGGTTTAGGTAGAAGCAGGCTCCTTACAGATGAAAAGATTTTTAAAATCGTTGTAGTAATTTTAGAGTATATTCCTCTTTTTATAACATAAGTATAGAAGAGTGAAACGTACTATAAAACGATATCTCTGAAAACATCAAATATTTTTATCATAATCAGCTTATTGAAACTCTACATTTCCACAAGAAGAGACTAACATAAGATGTACGAATTATTTTATAACCTACCGCTGGGACCTACCACGACTATGTAAGTATTTAAGGGTTATATTTGTGTCATTCGTATAATAGCCAGCCTTTACTAAAATTGCTAATACTAGCCAATATGCTATTGAGTTGATAAAAAATTCAAACTTGTTATACAATGAGTTATAAACTAACGATTTTGGTATATCGGTAAGATAAAATCTTCATATATGATTCCGAAATGTGAGTAAAGCATACGTTAAGATAAATAAATAGAACAAAACAATAATAAATGGAGATATTGTAAATAACGCGAGGCCTGGACACCTGTGTTACGCGTCGTGTGTGCGGAGAAAAAAGTCCTCTCCATGTTACAGTGTACTTTTGTAAAGAAACTTATGGATTATATTTAAAGTCAGAAGCTCGCATTGACACCAGAGCTAATTTTGACGCGTAGATTATATATGCATATTATACTTTTTGATTCGACTCAACGCACCTAGCATTTCATTTGGTAATGCATTTTAAAGTATATTGTATTATTTGGTTTAGTGAAATAATCCATCGTATTCTTCTATAACTTTAAGCCAGATCTCTTGCGGAGATAACAGAGAGAAGGAACTGATTCATGATTAAAATAATTTCTGCACTAAAATTTCCGTACATCGTAAGGTGTAATTACCTTATGATCTGTATGTAGCTTTTGAATATAATCACAGAAATAAGGCTCAACTTTGTCCTATCCACGTTAACCTTCACGATGCACTTTAGAGAGGGACAACGTGTGCAACCCGTTTCACTCTATCGGTGGCCGGTCGGTGCACGTGTGCTGAAACCAGTTCCTTTGCCGTCCATGATTTTATTAATTGGTGTTTCTTATAGCCACAGTTAAGTTATAACTTCAGAAAGAAAATCGTTAAACAAAATTTCGTGCTCAATGATTCTTTCAGCGGATTCTTCTTGGCTTCTGATATTTTTTATAAAATGGTGAACTTGGGCAAATTTTTAATTGAAGATAATTATAAACATAATATTGTGAATTAAAAAAAAATATCGAATATAATAAATAGAAATGTACAAAGGCGAAAACAATACAAACGAAATCAACACTCAAATCTATGAGATCGATGTAGACAGTAGATAGCGTATTACCTGTCAAAAACTGATTATAATGAATTAAGTTTCTACTTGCAACCTATAACAATTATTGTTAAAATTCCCCGTAAAACCCCTGGCTACAAAGAAATTGAAATTTCATCAATAATTAAAAGTTTGATTGTACTTGAACTGTAAAAAATATCATGTAGTTTTTCATTTCATATTACAGTCTATTTCAATTTTATTTCATTGTACACAAGTAATAAAAGAGAAAAGATTTTAAGAGATCATTAAAATACATATCTGCAAATTTTCCCATTTGAAATATATCTATTAATTAACAAATCTAAAAACATATACACGATGCGTATTAGCAAATAAATGAAACTGATCTAAAATTGTTAAATGAATCATTATGAATTGTACTCACGTTGGCTAATTATGAACTACGCAGTTTTGCTATCAATGGACTTTGGACTTCATGTCATTTAATAGTTCTACTCCTTTAAAATATACACCATATAATAAATTAATATAATATTAGACAGCGATGGAACCGTTGAAAAATTGCAATGTTAACAAAGAAAGTACCAAAACATCGAAATACCTAGATGATATTGTTTATTTTTTAAATTAACTTTCATTACCATCTAAAAAGTAATACTCCATACAAACAAATTATCTCTATGCCTCTGTTAATAATTTATATTATTAGAATAATTAGGATCATCATTATCATCATCAGCCTATTAATGTTCCCATTGATCCCTGAGCAATGGGAACATTAGCAGGCTTTCCCTATGAATCGAATCGAATAGGGAGAGTTTGCCTTAACTCACCGCACGGGCTCAGTGCGAATTGGTGGCTGTTAAAGACTGCAGATTTAGTTATAGCTTAACATGCCTTCCGAAGCACGGAGGATTTCGCGGTAACCCATATTTGGTCACCCATCTAATAAATGACTTTTACAAAAGTTCTCCTGTTATTGTTGCGCCATCGAGCTCCTTGATAATAAGGATAATCTATTGAAATTTGATTACTGGATACAACGTCTTCACTGTGACGTACACCTCTTCAAGACGGCTGCTATCCTGGTGCCTGACCACGACGATTCACTTGATAACAAATTGCTTTGTTCTGACCAAATAATACTAATAAACTATTTGTGTTAAAATTTGTCGATATTTGTCCATTGTGAACTGAACTTATGATTTTGTTATTTGATGTAACTAAATGTATCCGAATTCTAATGTTAATTAAAATGTTGCATTATATGTTTCTATAATATAAAAATGAATCGCAAAATGTGTTGGTAAGCGTATAACTCAACAACGCCTGGACCAATTAGGCCAATTATATTTTTAAATGTTCATTGAAGTTCAAGGATAGTTTTTACAGCGAGATAAATTCGAATAATTGCCGGAAAAACCCTAATAACGGTCCTTTTCTTTTTCCTATACAAACGTTTTCTAACTAAAACGTAGTCAATTTGAATTTTATTGTAATTGTATAAAGTTACCTGTTTTCTAAGCAATATAGGTGTGTTCCTAACGTCAAAGAGTCAATTTGCACTTTCGCTATACAAAGATCAAATTCAATCATATCTATCAAAACAGTGTGCGTGTGTGCGTTGGAGCACAGGATACATCGTTGGTGGATTTAATGTCGCGTTCTGAAACTCAACAAAAGTCCGACAGCATCAAGCGGTACGAACCATTATAAATACGAGACTTTTTAAAAGAAATTAAAGACCAAACAAAGATTTTCATTTAAAGTCCTTTTGTTATAAACCTACTCCAAATGAGCGAAATGACTGCCAAGCACTGCCTACGCGTGCGTATGCGCAAGCTCGTAGGCGAAACTAGTAATAAACGTTTTGATTTACTACAACAGAGTGACCTTTATATTTTTTACTGGTAAGTTTAATAGCCATCTGTTCAAAGAGGTTGCATTTAATTTTCTACCAGCATTAATATTCAAATGGCTGTTTTTAAGCCTGATTCTCACGTATCAGGTAACGTGCCAATGCGGGCACCTTACTGGTACGTGCATATATCTGTACATGATCTATATTAAGTTAGTGTCAGTGCCAAATGGGTTTGGATAGACTCATAGAAAATATATCAAATAATAATTAGGAAGTATTTAAAAAAATAACATTAGTTCCCGAAATTAAACTAGATGTCACTACGATACGTTCTCGATTTCTCCATGACAACTCTTCCGGTTTTCTTTCATGTCTCAAAAATAAATTAGTTTTCAAAACTCAATTAATAACTGATATACTATTTGTACTTTTTCGTAACTATATTGATATCTAAGTTTCGAACTTTGCAAATTTCAGTTTTTTAATATGTAAGTTAAAAGGAACGGAAATGACTGTCTTTGGTACATTCGTTTCCTGCAAAAATCAACGTTTGCTAGAGTCGTCATCTAGTGGAGGTGCTTTATTAGTGCATTCGTTTTTTTAAATATTTCCTCTTTATGACTTATGCAAAGCTGCGCCGGTACCTATTCTCCGTAAAAAGATTTCAATATAGGTTTTCTAGTCATAATATTTATAATTTTACTTCTCAAAACTCTTTTGGAAAACTCTATTTCGTATAATTATTTTGCATGCCTTTTTTATAATCCCATTTTACTGAGTGTTTACGAAACAGTTGATACGTTATTTCTATTACAGAACGACCGTACTCGGAGTCGGACGCAGACAGGCCACAAATTCAACCGCACCACTGCCGAAGGTCCGCCTCTTCCCCCCCTCTAACAATTTCCCTTGACACCGACTTAGAGGATGACGTGTTCATCAGTCCAAGGACAGACAACGGTAGCGACCCGTTCTCCACTAGAAACCTGGAGATATTCGGTTACGGGAGCCCTAGGACACCGGCGGGCGTTCTCCTGAGTCCTAGGAGGGAGAGGACGTTTACCTTCTCGGTGACTAGTGAGAAGCATTGGAGGGATAAGGGGGGGACGGATGTCGCGGACGGTGTGACAGAGGGGGATGACGCTGATGTGGTGAGTAGCATTATCTATTATACTACAAACTATTTTCTATTATTTACTCATCCCTTCACTAAAAAGATCACGTAATAAAAATCACTAACTTTTTAAACTTTAAGAAATCGCGTCCAAAAATTTAAATCAAAATAAGAAAGCTTTAGGATATTTCTAATGGTTCTGTCGTAGTCAAAACATGAATTTATAAAATTTTATCAATACACTTTTTAAATCTAGAAGCAGCTATTAAATCTTGTCAGAGATTGAAGACGTGACAAAGAAATTTAGGAATTTATTGCGTTGTCGCTTTTACTTTTTGCAAGATTTCAAACAATATTGTACAGACAGCCATACGCTCGACTGTAGCTAACAATGTTTGCCTCAACTATTAATTGTTTATTTTATTCATGTTAATATATTAATTATCTGGATTATTCGTTTCAATTAAAAAAAATGGTAACATCGATCTCCTTTTAAGTTTAGTATCCTAAATTATTTATTCAGAAATGTGCGCAAAATTTTGACTATTTTATTTTCAGCAGAAAATATTATTGCTATATGTTTGTACAACAAACGGAAACCGCAATTTGTGCCACGTGCGTTGTTAAAATAAACCAATTTAACGATCTAACAACACAACACAAAATGTGTATTACTTGCGGTTTCTCCAATTAAAATGAGGCGTAGTAGTTTATAATTATATTATTTAATTATTTAATCTTACAATAAGTCATTCTCTACCAGTCAAACCGGTGAGTATGTACAAAACATTACATTAGTTACTAACAGAATAACATAAGCATTATATATACAATAAAAATATATAACTTTTGCATAGAAATAAGTCAAGGGAGGGTTTATAACTTGTATTTAGAAATTTTAGACAAATCTTTTTTTTTTCTAATTTGAGAAACAGATAAATATCTTAAAGAAATTTTCTCGTATAGAATTTCTTCGACAGAACTAGCATAGCACTTATTTTTCCTTTAAGTAATTCTAGTCCTATGTGCTTATGCCAAACAACGAAAACAATAATAAGTTGATTGTAATGAATTTTTTTTAGAATAGCCGGCATACAGGTCACGAAAGTTATGCCACTTACAGCCGGTTACTGAATTGAGAAAAGCACAAAATCTCAACTGATTATTCTTAATAACTTAAGTTTTTTTACGTATCAAATGGCAAAAAGTCCTAGTTTTATTAAATTGCTATCAACTGATCATTACAAAAATATAAATCAGTAATTAAAACCTGTTTAATTGACTTTTAAAATGGCTTAAGCTCGGTTTGACACGTGCTCAACTTCAAATTCTCAATTCAGAAACCGCGCGTTAGACGAGTAGTTTATAGAGTAAACAGAGTACAGTGTAATCGTTATAAATTATTTTTCTTTTAAAACGTTACCATTACTCTACTGAAAGAACCGGTCTACTAACTCACCTATCTGGCATTGTCTCTGATATGCAGGAAAGCTAACAAATAGCACGTATAATCCAAGTGTTGTTCCATCGAAATTATTCTGATCCTTATTATTTGAGAAGCTCGATGGCACAGCAATTAGCGTGCACGGTCTGCGATGCGAAATTTAAGTATCTTTTGCAAAAGCCGGTCATAGCATTTTGCTATTTCGAGCCTCTCCGTGCTTCAGAAAGAACGTGACGCGACTGGTCCTGGCTGCTTCTGCAGTCGTTCACCCTTACCAATCCGCACTGGACCCATGTGGTACTAAAGCAGCGGGGACTTTAATAGGCTGGGGGTGATCCTCTTTGGGTAGTACATAATTTATCGAACCACCAAGACTTTAGTCTCGGCCTATTTGGAATTGTCCTTCCTTAGTATTTACAAGTCTCGGTTGGGTTAATTAGTGACTTAAGCTAGAAGAGCAGTTGCCTGGTCAGCCAAAGGTTGTGAGTTCCTATCCCTCCCAAATCAGTTGATTTTTTTAAATATTTTTACTAATTATGTATATAAATTATGTGAATTATAAAAATAACATCCAACGTATCCTTACAAAAGGACATATGACAAAAAACACTACGTTTCCCGAAACGTCCAGTTCGCAAAATATTTGTTTCGCGGAATGGTTTGATCTCAAATCGTCTGATTCACAGAAAATTCACTTCTCAAAATTTTATAATTATGTAGGAAAGAATCTGTCCTTTGCTTCTTTGTCTTTATTGATAGTTATTAACAATCAAATAGGTATAAAGTCTTGTTCAAAAAGGTCCTATTTCATGATGATAGAGGAATATGTATGAATAGGGTTCCCAGATTTTTTTCAGTTTGTATAGGCAAAAAAGACCATAACCAAAAATCTTTGTAAGTGTGCTCCGATGGGAGTTCCGTCTTATAAACCAAGTTTTCTTTACCAACACTGTTTATAGCTTGTAAACTGGTTACTAATAAAAAATAACAAAAAATACGGGATTTCAATTTTTTTTCCGGGCTAAATAAAAACCAAATATGCTGTGTGCGATCCTAGATAATGTTAATATTAACCATATGTCGTTTCCTTCGGTTCAGACTAAATAAAAACACAAAGAATTACTTATATAATTAGGGAAACAATATTGTCCTAGAGCCGGCAGCTCCGACATATACTTACATATATAATTCGTTAATATTTAGCCATGAACACAAGGTACTTAAAACAATTTATAATATTCATGTATTAGTCCACACGCGTCTCAAATACCGCCAAAACGACAAAACTTTATAAATCTTAAAATTTTTTTGTTAGGCAAAGGAATTTTTATGTTCATTCTATACTGAACAAAATTATTTTTTTTCGATGTTTATTTTCTACTAGCTTTCGCTAGCCCTAGGGAAATGTTTAGTGGGATAAAGTGTCCTATTATCTAAGTCAGCTAATACTGCTAATATCTGTATACTAAATTTCATCAAATTTATTAACGGACAAACATCCAAACAAAGAAACTTTCACATTTTTAATATTTATAGGATTAATATTTTTCAGAGGAACGCTCAAAAGTATTTTAACATATTTTCGTTGGATTTAAAAATCAATACAATTGTAGTCATACTTAAATATTTACATTAGTTGACTTTTGATTGAGTTGGGGGTACATTTATTTCGAACATCAGTCCACTTTAACACCATTTGCGAAATTTGGGTGTACGCATCATAGACATTAAATATTGCGCCTGTCAATAGAAAAAGTATCTAGCAGTTTTTTAACAAATTGCTATTGAAAATGGTCAGGCGTTCACTCTGCGTCATAATAATCGTAGATTTTTATCTGCCTTCAAAGGCCCCTCTTTTGAAGTCAGATATCTTCAATTTGTCCGCTATGTATGTAATATTGTTGTAAGTATACAAATATTATATAATATCACTACATAGTATAGACAAAACTGCTTTCCATCTGTCTGTCCTGTATGCTTAGATCTTTAAACATAAACGCACGTAACGGATTTTAATGCATTTTTTAAAATAAATATGCAAATTCTATAAGAAGGTTTTTATGTATAATACCAAGGACGCGAGCGAAGCCGCTGGAGGATAGCTAGTAATATGTATCGTATAAGTTTTGTGCAATAACAACTGATATATTTATGTATGTCTGTATGTTTGTCCATTTCTTTCTCAAAATAATATTAGGCGTCGACGGCTCTGTCTACCGCGTATCTGAACCCATGATTGATTTGTCAAAATGCTTGGTCTGACTAATCCCAGACCAATCCTGATCGATGTATCAGTTTCATGGTAAAGCATTTATGTAAATAGACATACAAACGAATATATTCTATAATATTTACTATTTTTCACAAGTACATGACACAGAGTTTATAGATAAAACTAACCTTAGGTATCTTTTACATTAATGGTTATTAATCAGATATCTTTCATTTACTAAAGAGTGGAGTGCTAAGGGTTGGCGCCTATCTGATCTAAGATCCGTTAAGCATTCACGGTAGTACACGCGATGAATCACTTTCAACAGCGGAATGTTTAGAAATGAAAATTAATAAAAAACCGTATCGTTATCCACAAAAAAACGCAAATCACGTTTGTTCTCTTCGATTTAGTGGTTTGAAAATTTTGAGTAAAATACAGTACCTAGATCGATTATTACTCGTAAACTTGTAAAGCTGACTTAATCCAAGTGGTTTGTACGATATTTCTAACAACAACCGTTTAGTTGGTAAAGGGGAAGACATTTATCTCTTAAGACAATGGTCACTTTAAAGCTTTATAAGTCACGAACGGTTTACTAAATCGAAAAGCATCCCTTATATTTTTGAACCTATCCAACGATACTATACATTACGTAAAAATGACATCAACAATTTACATAATATATGTAAAAAAAATCTTAGATTTTGTTTTACAACTCTCCTAACTATCGACACTAGTTTTTGAGCTAAACCTTAACAGAAGGACATACAGATAAACACACTTGACGAAACTATAATGGTTCCTTGTTGAATACAGAACCCTAACTAGAACTAGAAAAAAAAAGCACTATAGAAACTATAGCACTTTCATTTCATTTGAACAATTTTGATTTAACGATGCTATACTGAAAAATATTTTAATGAATAATCCCCGGGTTGCGAAAGGTCATGGGTTCAAGTCCCATATCAGAGTGCCAGGGACAAGGTGGATTTTTTAAGCATTAAGAGTATTTTTCAGTGTAGCATTGGGAATGCGCAAATGATCAGATATAATAATGATTAATAGTTTATACGTTTCTGAAGACGGTTTTCTTTTTTTCCAAAATAAAATATAGATATATGTTTAAGTAGTAAATTATAGAGGTCATAGAAAAAAGAATTATGCTTATTGCTGGTTACAGATTCAACGTTAAAAGGCATTTAAAGGTAAAGGCTTCATATTTAAACATTATAACATAATCATAATGATACAATTAGACCAGAATTTCAAATAAAATGTCATTTCTTGAGTAATCCTAGTTTGTTTTTAATGCTGATAACCTACTTATGATGTAATGGCATTAAATAAACTATAAATGTAGCAGAAATCACATTAAAAT